AATAATAGTAATAATAGTGATAATAGTAATTATCATTATAATTTACCAGTCGCAGCAACTGTTGCTGTTTTTTTTTCTGGTGCTGCTGCTGCTGCTCCTGCTGCGGGTTTTGGCAATGTCATCTGCATCGCTAGTGGGGCTTCTCTGTTTGTGTGATTGTGTCGGTCTTGGTCTTGTCGTTTTGGCCTTCTTGTTGACCAGCAGAAGAAGCAGCAGAAGATTGGTTTTTAATTTTGCGAAAACGTGCAAAGCATCATAGTGTGGAACTCATACAATGCCGTTATTTGGCAAGCTTCTTTTACCTGATTGTTGCATCCTCCCCGCTCTCACAACCGTTGGTGACTGGAAGTTACCCTTCCAAAAATACTTCCGTAAGAAAACGAGTTCCAACCCGGACATGGCGCCTGTCAGTGTTTCCGACACATCGTTGCCCAAAATCGTGACATGGCCGCACCATGCGGCAGAGAAACCAAATCCAAAACTGTGAGATTCACAGCGTAGCTGTCCAACAGAGATGTTACAGCCTCCTCACCACCTTTCGCCCGACCTGGAACCGACAGACTCTGAGCAAAGCCCTGGATGACCTGCCACATGAGACCAACACGCAAGTATCACAGTAAAACATACGGGCGAGACCAGATTGCTGTACAACTTCTTGCCAGTATGCATTCCACAACCCGCGGCGGTACACCTCGTGCCACATGCTATACAGAACAACTACCTTAAGCCGAAACCCTTGGCCCTTCCTCCCACCTGCAGAACAGTTTTTTGATGGTGTGAGATCAAGGCATACGTTTCGTGCCAGATGGATGGATAGATAGATGGATGGATCGATGGATGGATCGATGGATGGATCGGTGGATGGATCGATGGATGGATCGATGGATGGACCGATGGATGGATGGATGGACGGACGGACGGATGGATGGATGGATATTTTCGCGTGTATGTATGCGTGTGTGCGTGTAGATATATATATATATATATATACACGTGTCCGTACATATATAAATATACATATATATATATATATATATATTTATTTATTTATTTATTTATTTACAATATGCGAACTAGAATACGGCTTGAACCATGTAACCTTGCGAACCCTAGGTCAGGAGCAAGACAACAGATCTTGGCTTTCCCCGAAACGTTCGACCGGTCAGAACTTTCAGTGTTTAGCACAAAAGAAATCAACTATGTTGAGGAGCGCCGCATCCGCCGGCAGGCAGGCACAGTCCTAGCGTCAAGGTTTGTTGAGGTTTTGGTTCCGGAACTCTTTTCGCATTTCTAGCGTTTGTGGAAGACTTTTTGCAGAAACCTCCGGGCTTGCTACGAGCGTCCACCCCAATGCTTGTCCACTCCACTGTGAAGGCCCCAAAAATATCGATCTTGAGATGCGCGGGCATGTGAGACATTCCCAATCAAGCCCTCAGCCCGAATGCCAGAGCCCCTGCAATCCATAAGCCCTATGAAGCTTGCAAACCCTTCACGTTTATGCATGACGCAAAATGCCCAACTCTCTTCACGCCCGAGAAGTCCTTGAGCTTGAAGCCATACATGTTTGAAGCACGCACTCTAAAGCCCTGAAACCAACGCCCTTCGACACCTCAGCCACGGAGGTCCGATCTGAATTTCTAGGCGGCGGCGGACTGCAGGTTGATGACGGGCACAAAGATGAGCTTGAGCTGCATGCCATGCTACATGTTCCTATCTGTTCAAGGTGATGTCTGCAAAAGTTGCCAATGACGTCGTCAAGCTTCCATCGTGATGCACGTAGGACCACATCGCTCAAGATGCCATGCCCTAAAACAAGGCATGCGCAGTGCCCTCAGCGAACGCATCTGAGGACTGGGCACAACCTCTCAAACCAGAAATGAAAGCCCAGCTGGTCAGGACCTTAGCTGTTCGCCTCAACTTCGTTGCTGATGCTTATCATGGCAATGAAGATGAAGAGGAAGCGGAATATAAGGATGCAGACGAGGATGACGATGAACATGCAGAGGTGTCATGCATGTTTGCATGCATACATACATACATACATACATACATACGTACATACATACATACATACATACATACATACATACATACTCACATACATCGATACGTAGCTATAAACTGTCATAATAATTTACGAAAAGTTCTGCAATTTTGTGATTTGTTTTCTGCCCCGTTCAACTCATTAACAGAAGTGAACTCTCGGGTTCACTGCCCAACCCCAACTCTTCACAAGAAGCCTCCACCTCCACATTGCCGCCATTGCCACGATCGTTCCTCACCTGCCTGGGCGACGCGAATAGTTCAGTTTGCTCGGTGTGGCAAAGAGCTCGATTAACCGAACTTGAATGGACACAGTTTTACAACGAACGTACAAGAAATATGGCATCAGCTGCACATTGTACACACTGTTATATGCTCTACATCTTTCCGACTGTCTCAACTCTGAGGACAGTTTTTCGATCTTGCGGTACATGAACTGCACGCCAAGCAATAGCTGAACCAGGATGCACGCTTCCTCAAATCGGTAGCTCCCGAGGTGAGTAACCACGTCCCCTGCCTTTCACTGCAAGGAAGATGCCGTGCGCTTTTTCTCGGAAACAATGCGCGTGCCAGCGGCATTGATTGGATCCGCAGCATTGGGCATGCTTCCAGGCAGCGAAATAACGCTTCTCCTCATCCTTCAGTTTCCCTTCAATGATTGTCTTATAGTTATAAGTTATCAGAAGAATGAGTGTGACTGCTACATGGTCAGAAGAAGTTGGGGTTGGAGTGTTTGTTGTTTTGGTTATTGAGCCTGAGACCAAGAGCCCAACATCGGCGACTTCATGATTCCAGCGGTTCGCGCGTAGGCGTTTCATGATTCTTGGGCTGAGGGACGCACTCAAAGGTGAGGTTGACAGGGAGACACTCGCAGTTCAGTGTCCACTTCCAAATCCGTCCACTCTTTTCGAGGCTTTTTCTGCCACCCTGGAAGTTTGGCTGGTGCAAGGACGGCAACCTGAAATCGTCCTTATCCTTGTACGGATGGCGGGTCGTGTCTCAACACCCCTTCGACCCGAAGACCCCAGATCGGGAAGTTGAGATCCTAGCAAACAAGCAAGGGCACGGAGAACGGAGAGGATGGTGTTCTTTCGTGGTTGCAGGGGTGGTAGGACGCAGTTTCTGGTGGGGCCCATGCTCAATTTCAACGCAGAAGCCTCAGAAGTTCATCGGAGCGCGTTATTTTGTAATATCATCGCTTCCGACTGTTGACACGGAGTTGAAGATTTAAACGAAGTGTACTGTTGGTTCTCGCGATAAGGCCTCAATCCTAATCCTACGCCACAGGACGATCGCCCACAACTGGAAGTGTTCGATTTCCTTTACCGCGCGGCTTGGCTTTTGTCCCACAAGCTCGGGAGCCCTTATAATTATGACTAAGTGATACTAAGTGTAATGCTCGTTGTTCATGCGCTTGGGTTCAGGATGTAAGCGGTTGAGTGAAGGATTTCGGCATAGATGGAGCTTATATGGAGCATGAGTGTGTCAGACTTATCTTGACGCACTCCTTACAACATCCGAAAAAGGCATGTTGCCGTTGATTTCACCTAGATCAAGCCACATGTTAGGTTGTTCCCACTCGGTCAAATGCAAAACTTGAATTACAGTTTACAACAACCGCGACAGCCGCACAATTAGCCTTTAACCAGATGTGTGTATCACCAGCAATGGCAAAAGTACACACGACTGTATTGTGTCAGCAGTACTGGCTCACTGTATTCAGAACCGATGATCTTACACCACACAATGCATCTGCGGGTCGTGACAGCTAGCATGTACAAAGGCTGCTGCACTGTCTGAAGCCCTAACTCTCAATCCTACAACCCGTACCCCATCCCTGAACCCCAACAGCTGAAGCCCAGGCATACGTAATCCTGACAGCTGCCACATTCTGCCTGGAGCTGACCACGGTTCTGGAGACATCAAATGTGGCTCAGTTCCATGGTGTCAGAAAAGATTAAAGATAGTTTAAGGATCAGGGTTCAGTGCTTTAGGGCTGGGGCTTCAGGGCTGGGCTAAGTCGCGTCGAGCGCTTCATGCTTCAATAGGGCGAAATTTGCTAGCATGGTGCCGGGCATGGTGTCTTGGGGTTCGGGTCCAGGGCCCAACCTCGTTCTTGACTGCGATCTCAGGGTGCTGGTTATACCTTGCAAGAAAAGCTGCACACCGAGACAGCAAACCCAAATCCGAAAGAACAAATGCCCATTTCTCGGTCCAATCCAGCACTAGCAGAGGATGAAAACCGCACTTTAATGTCCGAAGCTCTGAAAACGAAAAATCGAAAAGTTCTCTGGCAAGAACGCGAACTGCGGGCCCAAAAGAGGCAAAAGCCTAAGTCCGTTCCATTTTCCTCAATGGTTGATACAACAATCCTTTGGTAAGTCAGTTCAATTTGAAACCTGAAACCCCCAATTTCGGTAGTCGTGGGCCTTTGTGGCTTGGCTGGTGGTTGGAAGTCTATCCAAAACATTTGAACAGCTCAGCGCAAGTTCCGGATAACTTCTCCGACCGCACCGGACAACCGATGTCATAACCCTAGTCGCCGGCAAGACTGCATCCTGACAGTTCGTAGATAAAAACCGTCAACAACTTAATTGTTTAAGGTGAGGTTCTCGTTTTGACTGCGCTTGCAGTGAAACTTTGCCTTGCCAAGGGGAGCATAAAGGGTCCAGCAGAAATCCTGACATGACATGCAGCCGCTTCGCCATGAATCTCCAAATTTCCCTGCAAAGCAACCTACACACGAAAATCTCGATTGAGGACCCCTGCTCGCCAATCCACGGTGGCGACTAGGATCCTGTTCAGTGTGTACGAAAGATAGGAAAATGTACCTTGAAGATCCTTGAAGAGGTCAAACCACAAACTACAACAAGCTGAGAAGCCCTAGAACTGGAAAGTCCTTAATCCTTATAAATGTTTAAATGCTGTTTGATGTAGAGCCTGGAAACAGCTCGAGGCGCACGTTCAACTCCTCGAGCTGGGTCGGCATGGCTTGGTCTTGGATCCTCGGAGATCGAGAGGGGAAAGGAAGGGTTAGTTAAGACGTAGTACATAGCAGTTCATACGATTGAGTATCAGAGTGACCATGATGTGGCAGACAGGAATATTCTGATGTAATGCTGAAGTAGTAGTACAGAACGCTTCATAAACAGTGTTGAACATGCTTGCCACAGCATCTTCTGCGTGTGCTTTGGCAGTTGAGTCGTGTAGAATGTTGGTAGGGAGGGAGATGACTGCCTGTGGTGTAGGGGCTTCCGTTCCCCGAGTGGGAGTTGGCATGGCATGGGGACCGGAGCGACATCGTCGTTTAATCGAGGACGTTCACACGGTCATGCAAGAAAGTAGGACCCGTCGTATGCCGGAATCCTTCGCGTCGGAAGCATCCTAAGGTAGCAACAGCTTCTACTGTTGGTGAAGCGTGATCATTCCCAATGATAAACGAATAAGCCGTCACGCTATTGATCCCGGCTACAAACGCTAAACCCTGAACCTGCAGGCTTGGACCTTTTAACAATTGAATTTGGCCTGCATCCCAGCTTTCCTGGCGCACCTCCAAAGCCACAAAAAAGCCAGCCATTTCGGCACATGTAATATTTAGGATAGGCTTGGATGTTTAAGCCGCGCTCCTTTCAGAGCTTGTAAGATCTGCTAGGAGCCCACTGCCATGGATCTGATCATGGCGAACCTCGAGTTTGAGCAATTTGGCGTGCAGCCGGCCGGGGTTTGTTTGATTTGGGCCCGGGCCGAAAGGTTCCATATTTCACTTTTCTAGACAAGATTCTCCGTTGAGGTGTCTAGAGTCTAGAGAGTTGTGAAAGAAAGTCGCAATGCGCCAGGGGTACTTCGAAGGTATCCGTGAACTTGAGCACTCGCATCTGGCTGCTGCATTTTGTGACGGACGTTCGGCATCCAAATGGCCTCCTCGCTCCCGCTCCCTCCCTCCCTCCCTCC